TACGGTAGTACTAGGCACTGAATGCTAAACGGCAGTAAAACTACGATTGAAGTAAAGAAAGATGAAGTTTGCAACATATAAAGTTCAGGATGGTATGAGTAAAATTGTTTCTAACAAGATGTTGAATTTCAGTGCGATAACATTAAAGCGACTTCAAGTTTATAGTATTTTTTTACGCTACATATATCAATTGTCATTGTAGTTTCAAATAGCTTCTTTTGGTCATCTCACCAATCGCCACCCAACTACGCTGATTGAGCAGTACGTCTGAGATCTTATAAAGTTAAAAATTGGGTTTCGATACCCGCAGTGGGCAGAGCAAATTAACCTACTGTGTAGCTTTGAGCTTAACAACAAACAAATCTTAAGTATTCGACAGTGGCTGCTGGAAAAGTCTCTTCCTTTGGTGAAACGCTTCTTACTGTTTACTGTAACTTTGATACAAACTTAGACACAAGGTTCATTAGTTGCTTATCATCTGCATTACATATATCACTTCATCAAACTTTTCACCTTTACAAATCCCGAGGCAGAGTAATATGCAGCGAACAAATCAACTAATTAATAAAGTAGCTAGTAATCATTTGCATTGACATCTCAATCCTAAGTAAGAGTGGGCCTATATTGGTCACATCTCTTGCCTTCAATCGATCAATAACCTTGATTTTGCAGTACAGTCTGCTTTTAATTGAGGCTTGTCAATAAACTGTAAATCATTATATATAAATTCCTTTATTTCAAGATTTATTCAATTCTAAGATTTTAATAATTTCAAGACTTTCATAAGACAAAAACAATTATGCAACTACACGAATGCGAATTGAACCAGTTCATCCAGATATACTAGAGGTTTGTCAAACAAAGGTTCCTGGCTGGGTAGTACGTAATTCATTTTTTCAATATTCATAATTATCAGTCCGTCAACACTAGCAAATGGCGCAGCTGATAGGCTAAAAACAGAGTGATGTAAGTGTCCTTTCTGTAATCTTTATCAGTTAAGATTACCAAGCAACAAATCTCTACGAGCCATTACATAAACTTTCCCACAGGGTAAAACCACTACTTGCAAATTTAGCCCTAAGAAATTAAAGGTTCTTGATCCACGTATCGATGAGTCAGTGCAGCTCTTATCCTAGATTGCTTAAGGTACTCCAGCATAATGCAATAAAACATAGTTCGTTGTTAAGACTTCTTCTACTATCTCACGTTAAGCAAAACTGCAACAGTGATCAACATTGGCTTAAAACATCTATAAATTGTATCTGTATTTATGTGTTTGATTGTTGTCCGACTCAATTGTCCATCTGGTTCCACAAGTACATTAGAAAACTCCGTGAGTAATGCATTTAATGTTCATTTCTGAGGTGAGTTCAGATTGTTTGCACAAACTTCAACTAGAGACTTCAGCTACTCTGGAAGTTTTGTTTTATTCTTGGACACAATACAGTGGCTGTGGTGTTAGCTACTAAGCTGGTTGGTGACACTTCTACTTCTCTTACCATGCCAATGAACATTCCAACAGGAAGCTTATAGCCAACTGGCTGTAGTTACAGTATTACGACACCCACACATAGACAGATCAATGTTCGAGCAAGACTAACGAAGCTTGCTTTCCATACAGAAAATTGTGTTTCATGCATCAATTCTATCATCGCAGCAAATTGTGACAGCACAATAGATTGTATCCATGATATGCAATGTAATATCACTTGTACTTTAGGGTGAATGTGCACTAACGTAGTCCACTGTTTTTCAGCCCATTATTGTCAGCACTGGATAGTTTATTCATAAGGCTACAGTTCATTGTAGCACAAACAAAGCTGACTGGTAATAGCTGCATCAGATCCAGACGTAAAATACCATTACTTGAAGCCAGATCAGAAACAACCACCTTCACTTGGCATGAAACATTTCCAAGTTGAAATCAGGAACATTTCTGTCCGTTGATATCTAGCTTTTTGCAATTTGTAAGAACAAAGTTGGTGTTAACTGGCCATAGTGGTAGGATTTCACGAAGATTGAGTTAGGTTGTGGTTGTTCTAGTGTTCACTAAAAACTTAATATTGTATCTTTGTATTTTTATCAACACATACCACATGACCCTCAGTCCATGTTTTTTGAACCAGCCACCATAATGATATGTCTGAGGTGACAGCTACATCCACCCAATTTGATAGACATATACAACTCGAATTCTGCGAGTTTAAACTACCATACACAGCCATAGCTCATCATTTAACTTCCTGTATTTTTTGCAACATTTGTGTAAATGGCGTGTTCATTCAGTTGTCCTGTCTAAGAACAGGTTATTGCATTTCTGGAACTAGTGATTAGGTGCACCACAGCTGAAGCAGACACTATTTTTCCTTCATGCCCTTCGCTCTTTTAAAAGTATAACTGTGATTATATTGGTGGAATGCCCTTGCCTTACAGAAAATCACAACAGCTGGCCACGATGCTTTGCTGTTGAGATGATGGAGTAACAGGTTCACATTGTTTTGTGCTCTGGGGGTTGTTGGAACTTGATCAAGAACACGGTTTGATGTGACACATCAAATCAAATTGCCATAGAAACTGTCTTAGTTAGAAAGATGATGACAAAACCTTGTTGAAACGTTGTACATTTGCTGTTATGTTAAACTTATATTAAAGTTTTTCTTCATTACCCATTCAAACCATCTCCAAGCACTTTTAGTCTCAAAATGGGTTCCTTGTCATCGCTCAGTAGCATTTTAATCAATTTCTTAATTATTACCTCATCACAATTTTCAGAAAATTTGGTAGGAAATGGCTAACCATCTGGTTTCATCGAATCAGCCACATTACTAACCAAGTTTTGTATTCCTCTTCTCTTCGAGCTTTGAATTCAATCTTGTGGAGCACTTAGTTCTATACGTGGTTCAATATGTGTTGAAATTCGTTGAAAAGTGTCACAGGTGTTTAGTTGTATCTCATCTAAATGATCTGGAGCATTAAACACGGGGATGTCTAAACTTACCATTAAGTGCTGTATTAGCTATCCCTGACTTCACCCTTTCTATAGTACTACCTAATTTAAATGTTTGAAGAAGTGGTCCAGGTTCTCCATCAAACAATGTTAAACTGTGGTGGAGCAAACAGGTTGTTATTCCCATCATCTCTATTACAGTCCAACCAACAGTACCTTTTAAAATCAATAATGTAGTACCAACGTCAGCGACAACAAAAAAGAAACACATTCAAAATAAACTCCACAATAAGAAATTCTTTGTTGTTACACAAAAATGTTGCCTGGCATGGCCAGGTGGTTAGGGCGCTCGACTCGCAATCTGCGGGTCGCGGGTTCGAATCCCCATCACACCAAACATGCTCGCCCTTTCAGCCGTGGGGGCATTATAATGTTACAGTCAATCCCACTATTCGTTGGTAAAAGAGTAGCCCAAGAGTTGGCGGTGGTTGGTGATGAGTAGCTGCTTTCCCTCTAGTCTTACACTGCTAAATTAGGGACGGCTAGCGCAGATAACCCTCGTGTAGCTTTGTGCGAAATTCATAACAAACAAACAAAAGCAAAAATATATTACTTTCTAACTAGTCCATATCTGGGAACACTGATGTCCAACAAGTAGCCAAAGGTATTGATAAAATTCAGGTTCAGAACTGTTAAGCAAATAATAAATTAAACACAGGCAGCAAAGGAAAACAAATACAAATGAACAGGTGAACAAAATCATCTTTACTCACAATTCAGGCTGTGTTTAACTTAAAGCTGGCCAGCCTCTTGTTCATTGGCTATCTGGCTGTTGGGGATAAAAAACAAGAAAATCATAAAATTAAGAGCTCAAAATAACGAGGCATAGGTGTGTGAACATTAAATTTTATATTCATACCAAGCCTTATTATTATATCTCACAATCTTTTAGGTTACATATTTCAATCACAATTCTACATATAATTCTAACAATCTCAAACCAGCTTGTAGAGGTTTCTATATCACTTGTTTGAACAGAAAAAAACCCTAGAAATCAATGCACATACATGTACACATTAGCTTAATACTGGAAATTGTTTGTTTGTTTTGGAATTTCGCGCAAAGCTACACGAGGGCTATCTGCGCTAGCCGTCCCTAATTTAGCAGTGTAAGACTAGAGGGAAGGCAGCTAGTCATCACCACCCACCGCCAACTCTTGGGCTACTCTTTTACCAACGAATAGTGGGATTGACCGTCACATTATAACGCCCCTACGGCTGAAAGGGCGAGCATGTTTGGTGGGATGCGGATTCGAACCCGCGACCCTTAGATTGTGAGTCGAGTGCCTTATCCACCTGGCCATGCCGGGCTCAATACTGGAAAATATAAACTACAACATTTAACCATGACGCGAGTAAAAATATTAGAACATGTTTATGACCATGCAATATCCAGTTAATAAGGGTATAATCAGCTATATGTATAAACTACATGGAAATATAGAATAAAAATCCACACGAATATATCTACATAAAGATATATTTTAAACTATTTATGATGAGGTGAAATATGATGATATTAAATCACCACATTTATACTAAGTTATGAAAGGGTGAAAACTATTGTAGTTTCACATACTACAAAAGCTTCATCACATGAACAGAGGAACAGTGAGTATTTGCATCCAAAGAGCGGGATAAATTTTAATGCTGTAAAAGGGTTTGTTTGTTGTCATTATCTGTACGATTTCTGTGACAAATTTATAAAACCATATATGGACATATAACCAAATATAAACTAAAGACCAAGCACTTTTTTAAGCCTGTTATTCAACAAAGTATGTTTTAAACAATTTTATGAACATGAGGAGAAAAACTACTTCGTAGATCTTTAGATGTACTGCCTATATAGCATGATAAATTATTATGATTATTATATACAATTAGGGAATGTTACCAATAATTTGTTTTTCAGACACACATTATTTTTATATTATATATTTACATTATGGAACAGAAGTGATCACAAAACTTATTTTAGTTTATGTTTTTAGTATCTTAGTGGATTCGGAAATGAGTTTCAATCTGAAGACCCTAGATGTCCTGGAGCTTTGCCGAAGAAACAGGTAGTTGTGCTTATCCTGAGAATTCTTTGTTTATGTTTACACCTTTCACAATACAACATAGGAATATATTATATTAGAAACTGAAAAGGCACGTAGAAGGTGCAACTCTCGTCCCACTATGTTTTGAATTTTTCAGAAACCAACCTAGAATATATACCAAACAATTCTTCACCTTCGATAACGTAGTTCTAGGTGCAAAGATCCTCTTTCTATCTCAATATGTTCTCGAATTTTCACTGTTTTTTAAAATTCCCACTGGCTTAAAATCGCTAAATATAATGAATTGGTCGTAGGGGAAGGGGGCACTCAGTCTCCTTTGTACTAATTTTGATTAAAATCAGATTAAATGTTTTTGAGTTATCTTGAATCACACACACACAAAAGGAAAATAATAATAAAAATAAGCAAAGTGATTATAAATAGATTGAGGTAGTTCTTTCCCCATTTTCTGATAAACTGTTAAAAAGTATACGTCCTCTGACATCACATAGGAACAACGAATTGATAATGTATCAGTTTTTAAACCTTGCAATGCAAAATGGATGTTAAAAACGACTTTATTCAAACCCGTCGTTTCGGCTTACGCCTTTCTTAAGTCTTAATGGTTACAGCGTCACATACAAATACAAAACGGATACCCAAAAAGAACACATACAACAATTAAAGACATATTTAAAAATGGTAATGTCACGTCCTATCGCAAGCACGTTAAAAGTAATTAGATGACCAAGCGACAGAAAATCTCAAGGTATCGACCAACAATTATTATTAAAATTACAAAAGCCAAGAATAATTTTTGTTTATTTTAGATTTATAAGATTGAATCAGGAGGGACCCTTTAAATTTACGATCAAGGAAACTATTATATTTTGCTAAGATATTTAAGTTAAATATTGTTTTTATCTACTGTACCACGTTTCAATAGAAAGTGTTCTGCAGTGGTCTCTTTAGACTCAAGATTCATGGAGGCACGGATGTGTTCCTGAAAACATTCTTGCACTTGACGACCGGTTTCACCAGCGTATTTATCGTCACTCTGGATACATATCATTCCACATATTACATTTTTAGCAATATAAAAGTCGTCCAGTTCGTTGTTTATAGCAAGACAATTTTTGCTTTACAATAATTTTTCTTATTTAAAGTTGAATGAACAAGTAATTTTTAGCGTAATCCTCAGTGAGGAGTTCATCGACAAAGGGTAGAGTCCAGGTGACATTTTCAGTCTGTGAAGGTTTATTGGACTGCTTTTATCTAACTATATTTACAAGAAGCCTTTACAAAATTTGAAATATAGTTTCAGTTAGCAGGGTAACCTTGACAACGAAGAAGTTTTAAGTCCGACCTAACGGTTGTTTAACCATTATTCTTATAAGTTGTACAATAATTATACCGCGTTTAGAATCAGGTGGGTGGTTTAAAATAAAATGTAAAAACCAACGGTTTAACTTACGATTTTTTGGTACATTTTAGTAACAATGAACGGTAAGGTCATGAAAGAATTCTCAGTGTGCGAAACAGTAAATTTAATAGTAAGATGTAACTTGTTAAGGAAATGAACAAATGCTAAGAGTGATTTAATGTCATAATTCAAAATACCGAAAATGTCCCCAATCAGGTTTTTGTCCAGTTTCAAAGTCCCACTGTAAAACTGCAGAGATTTCGAAGGCTCGCATAAAAATTAATTTGTATTTTTATGTAATGCTGTAACCCCTTGGGAAAGGCGTAAGCCGAAATTGGATTTGAATAAAATCGTTTTTTAAGTGTTACTAGTTGTTATTATTTTTTTTTAAAATGAATTTAGAATTGTTCCATGTTCTTCCCATGGAGTTAAATAGGCTGGAGTACGTGACGTCATATTATCATGAGCTATGCTTTCCTTACGCGCCGCCATCTTGGAAGAGGAGGGAATTGTCAGTTGTTAATTATGAAATTATAAAAAATGAAAACGAAAAAAAACAACCTATTATAACATTTCATAATGGGTTCGCTAATTGTTTTCAAAAGACTTGTTTTCTTGGATAAAATTTTATGGAGGGACGATATATATGAGCGTTCAAAAATTAAATAACTTTAGGCCTAACCATTAATCTACTCTTCTAATATTAATTATACGATCTAACATTAACATGTAGCAAAATATATACTAGGCCTAGAGTCTGTAATGTTTACTAGATCTACTTACATTTAATGATGCTGATTTCATGTATTACCACAGCACAAACATACAAAATATCACTAATTACGTTGTCCAAGCTACACAGAGTAGTTGTCCTTTTTTACGGGGCTTTAAAACTTAAAAGCTTAGCAGAAAGAATGTACAATTATACTCTACAAAAAAAGTGATTTTATGTTATTTATTACTTTATCTGTCTAAAAACTGTATGTAGTATAGCTTTCATCCCCAGTCTACAAATGCTTTTTAATAAAACTAATTTATTAAGTTATTTACCATTATACTTATCATAAGATACTAATACTAAGCATGTTACATTTTAAAGCACTACATCCTTTACTTAGTCCCTTAAGTATTTTGAAGGGGAAGAAATGCCGTTTGTTTGTTCTATTAACAACTTTATATGAAAACAACCCAGAGAACACTACCTCTTTACTTGATATTCTGGACTCGCAACTGATCGGTCGTCACCGGGTTTTTTGGTTGTTGTGGACCTGAGAGGGTCAGGTACGTTCTCGACCCCTTCCTCCCTGCTGAACTAATGATCTATTTTTGCAAATACTGCTGATAATATGGCTGGCGCCATTTCAGGGCCTCTTCCGTTAATATAATACAAGTAGCATTTAGTGGCTATACAACATATTCTCTTTATTTGGTCACTAGCACTTTCAAACAGTTCATACGTAGTATTTCTATTTACTACTATTTCACGAATTGATGTCAATAAGTTTAGTATCAAACTGTAGATTATAATTCGCATTTTAGAACTATACATTACTCAATTTGTTAATTTAAAAGTAAATATTAAGAAACACAGATAAACATCAATTGTTGTGTGTCACGTGGTATGTTGAATGCAGCACTGGTTCAAATTAGATGTTTGTGAAGTCAAAATACTAAGTCTATAGTTTCATACGAATTAGAAACTCAAATTACAAATATTGACCAGCTAGAATATAGAATAAGAAGTTCCTATCTTTTCTATTTGCTAAGAAATTGTTCACGTAATAAATCAAACATAGTGGCACCCCGCTCACCTGCTACCATTTTAGAAACGCTTCCTTATAAACACTTACTTCTATATATGACATGAATAAACAACCGGAAGCTCAGAATGTCCCCTAGTGGCTTTCTTAGCAATTTTAACAGACTTGGCATCATTTCTTTCTTTTGAACCAATATTTCAACGAGGAAGGGTTTGTCTTTAGTCTGCTCGAAAGTTCATATTGTTACGATATCGAGATCACGTGACTAGTATCACGCCACGTCATTCTCGAACTTTCACGTCTTTTCCT